AAGAATAAGGAAAATCAACTGATACTGAATTAACTTGCTGGGATTATAGGCATGCGCCACTGCACCTGGCCTGGATGGATTAAATATGCCTGATACTTTTTATAAAAGTAGTATAGATTTTAAATCAATTTTCTAATTAAAACTTCACTTTTGAAGTGTTCAGACTTCCGTATTGTCATATAACTATTACCAACTCAGTAAGAGATTTGTTTTATTTTTGTTTTGTTTTGTTTTGTTTTTTTGCGGAACTGGGGATTGAACTCAGGCCCTTGCACTTGCCAGGGAAGTGCTTATTCCACTAAGCCATCTCTCTGGCCCAAGAGATTTGTTTTATATACCCTTCAGAAAATTTTTAGTGTCTGTATGTAACATTCTACTTGACTAACGGAAAAGACCATTTCATGACACTTTTTGATGGGGACTGGGAGAGAGTCTCACCATGTAATACAGGCTGGCTTGAACTCATAGCAATCTTCCTGCCCCAAAGTCACAGCAGTTGGTCCCCATCTCCAATGAACTTTTAATTTTTGAATTTACAATATTTCAGTTTTTAAAATTATTTTATTTAATTTTTTTATTTTTGGCAGAACCAGGGATTGAACTCAGGCCCTTGCGCTTGGCAGGGAAGTGCTTATTGTACTGAGCCATCTCCCCAGCCCTTACAATATTTCTATAATAGTGCTAAGTAGGTACAAGATAATCTGAGTAGTCACATCCTGTTTTGGAGTTTTTAAAAAAACTGCATTACTCTATAAAAGTGAACTTGGGTTGGTATTATATGTAAATCAAGTAGATGTTTTTGTGTGAATATGATCTTAAACTATTCTGAGGTTCCTTATAATAGGTAACAAATCATTACTAGAAAGTTTACCTTTTTCATTCCTTTTGTAGATTCGTTTGATAATGAAGGCCCATTCATTTGTCAGAGAGAATGTGCCAAGGGTACTAAGCGCAGCCAAAGAGAAGTCAAGTATGTAATCTCTTTAGTTTAAAGAATTATTGACAGGGTGTTTCAACTATGGACTCCATGATGGTTATTCCAGTATACTTGCCTTTTAAAAGTTAACGAAGTCTTAATGTTGGTTTATTTTTGTGATGGAGCCTCACTGTGATGCCCAGGCTGGCCTCAGTGTTTCGCAGTTCTCCTGCCTCAGCCATTTGAATAGCTGGGATTATAGGTGTGTGCTTCTACACCCAGAACTCATTATTCTTGTTTTGTCCTTGTGCCTATAAAAGAAACAGCTCATTAGACTGTTCCAAACCTCATATCCACTGACTATTGCTAACTGTATTATTTCTGTGCTTGTTTATTCTTTGCAAATTGTTGCTTCACGTATCTGCAGTTACCTCAATCACAGGAATAACTAACTTAACTTGGTAACTGTAAATGCAAAAAAGTAAGCAATATGAACTAAGAAGTTATGATGTTCTTTCCTGTTCTGTGCTTCCTTGTTTTTTGCCTTTTAGCTTTGTTGGGAAAAATCAAAAGCTTCTGATCTGGTTTTCCTTTTCTAGGCACAGTTCCAATACCCACAGTCAGCCAGTACTTATACTTCTTGTTTGCTCCTACACTTATCTACCGTGACAGCTATCCCAGGTAATGTTAGTACAGTTGTGGAATGAAATAGAGCTATCACGCGAGTGAGGGGAGAAAAGGTGGCAGCAGCCACTTCCTGTGGGGCTACTGAGAAAATGCCATGAGTCTTCATTTTCTTTCTGCTGTAAGAAGCTTCATATGTTCTAGCAGTCTAATTTGATGAGTGGCAATTCTGGACATACTTAAATAATTGAATTATGTTGGATTGAATCCAGAGTCACTGAGCCATGTCCCCCACCCATAAATGATATTCTGTGTGGAAAAATATTTATTGTGAGAGTCTTTAAAATTGATTATTTACTTTAGAAAACGTTTCTCTTTTTTTTAGAACTCCCACTATAAGATGGCGTTATGTTGTTATGCAGTTTGCACAGGTACTATTTAAAATTTATTTGTTAGCTGCCTGAGGTGTATTGGTTGGTGAGAGATGGGAACTCATGTTTATTATATTATAATTTGTTTTAAATGTTGGTGAACTTTAAGTCAGTGGGGAACTCAGGGATATTTTGGGGTTTTTTAATTAATTTTATTGAGAAATAGCAATGAGACAGTTTCAAAACAGGTTAGTAGGACAGTAACAATAATTAATACATTGCATATTATTGTCTTCGTAGTAGTTATTCATAGTACAAGATGCAGACATGATATCCTGCCCCAACAGGAATACTATGTTTTGATACTGTGTAATCTTTTAGCAATACATATGTTTTGCCAACATCAGAAGTTTTCTTTAGTGAAAGTATTAAAAAAAAGAATTAATGTAATTATATTTTGTTTGCTTAATTCAGTAACTGAAAATCCTCCATTTCTCTCCCAATAAATCCTATTTTAAGTTTTATTTAAAATAATCCATTGCTAAGATTTTTTAAAGATTAATCTTATGTAGCAAGAAAAAGTTTTTAGATAATCTTTTAAATGCAATTTAAAGGGGCTGGGGAGATAGCTCAGTAGAATAAGTGCTTGCCAGGCGCAAGGGCCTGAGTTCAATCCCCAGTTCCACAAATGAATGAATGAATGAATGAATAAATAAATAAATAAAAATAAATAAATGCAATTTAGTAGCTGAGCATAGTGGCACACACCTCTAATCCCAGCACTCCAGAAGTTGAGACAGGGGCATTGTCATGAGTTGGAGTCTAGCCTGAGTTATATAAATTAGTGAGGTCAAGGTTAGGCTGCACTGCATAGTGAGATCCTGCCTCCAAAAAAAAAAAAAAAGAAACAATTTAGTATAAAGAGTTGTGAAAAGTCATGGTAGAAACTAGGTTTGACTAATACCTCTGAAGGGTTATTTACAATGCTATAAACTAGGGTAAAATGGAATGTGTAAATATTAGTTTTAGGGTCACATTCTTTGAGAAGGAAAAATATCACCTTCCATCCTTTTTTTATGTTCCAGGTTTTCGGCTGCCTTTTTTATGTGTACTATGTCTTTGAAAGGCTTTGTGCGCCATTGTTTGGGAATATCAAACAGGAGCCCTTCAGCGCTCGTGTTCTGGTCCTGTGTGTGTTTAACTCCATCTTGCCAGGTAACATGATTTAGTCGTTATACATTCAGAGGGAAAGCTTATTGGCTATGACCACCTTTGATTTCCCTGTTTTTCTGTATATTTATGGGCCTATCGAAATGCATCTTTTAACTTTTTCTAGTTTTTAATGAAGTGTCTTCCAGTTTCAGGCCTGTCACTCTACTTCTGGCTTTCACTTAAAATTTGCTATCTGGTAGAAGGGCTGTGTTTATGCTTTATCTTTCAAAAAAAATTTTTTTAATAGTACATGTTTGCAGTACATAATGATTACATTCATTATAGGGAATTAGCAGATGTATTTTTTTTTAATGTATTTAGTACAGGGTCTCACTCTACAGATTGGACTTGTAGTGATCCTCCTGTTTTCAGCCTCCCAAGCCCTAGGATTATAGGCATGTGCCACCATGCCTAGTCTCAATTGCTGTCTCAGCACACCCTGGGGGTTGGGCTAGCACAGCATGCCAGGGATTGGAGCCCTGATCCCTGAGTCTGCCTAAGCAGGTGCTGCTTTAATCTGCTGAGTTATCTGGCTGGCTCTGGTAGATGTATATAATTTATTTCACTCTCCTTTTTCTCCCTTTCCCATTTATTTATTTATTATTTTAACAATGTATTTGGTACAGGATCTCACTACACAGCTCTGACTCGTAGTGATCCTCCTGTTTTCAGCCTCTCTCGCTCTGGGATTACAGGTGTGGGCCACTAGGGTTGGGACCAGTGAATCATGTGGTGCTGGGGATCATACCCTGGTTCCTGTGCTTGCCTAAGCAGGCACTTAGTCTGCTGAGCTATCTCTCTGGCCCTTACCTTTTCCCTCTTAGAACATTTTAAAAATACTTTTTAAATAATATTTTCCCCCAGCATCAAATTTATTTTAGGGCTTTATTTTATTGTAAGTCTTTTAATTATAGTAAACACAGATTAACAGCTAGACTAACAGGTAAAAAAACAAAAAGACCCCCCAAAAAACCATATAAAACACATAAAACAATACTAAATCAGTGTATACTTCTAGATACATTAGCCATGCTGGATTACAATAAGATTTTTTTTCTCTTTTTTCTACTGTCTTGTCTTTTATTTTGTACTTTATATATTAGGTTTCTCAAGAGATACTATTAAAAAAAAAAAGAGATACTGTGCGGTATTTTATGTCTGATTTATTTCATTTAACGTATGATCTCAGCATATCCATTTTCCTATAAGTGACTCAAGCTATCCTTATGGCAAGTAATACTCTTATTTGTACACATACCATATTTTCTTTACCAGTTCATCTGTTGCTGGACATATGTGCTGCTTCCAAGATTTAGCTATTACGAATTGTGCTGCTATAAACATGGGTATTACTGTAATATGATGTTTTTAACTCTTGAGAAGCTACCTAGAAAGGGACTAGCTGGGTCAAATGCAGTTTGTAGTTTTATTTTTTGGAGGAAGCTCTACACTGGTTTATATACTTGTCATACCAGTTTATACTCCCACCAGCAATAGAGAAGAGTTTCTTCCCTGTATCTTCTCCAGCATTTGTTGTTGTTTGATTTCTTTTCTTTTCTTTTTTTTTGTTGTTTGATTTCTTGATGGTAGTTATTCTTCCTGAAATGAGGTGGAATCTCACTGTTATTTTAATCATCATTTCTTGAGTGGCTAGCAGTGTTGAATATTTTTTCCTATATTTCTTGGCCATTTATATTTCTTCATCTGAGAGGTGTCTGTTCATTTTAGAATTCCTTATTGCCCAGAATTGTTTTGCTGCTGTGCTAGGTCTCTTCTAGTTAAAAAGGATTGCTTTCTCTAGTTTTGTGAGAAATGTCATTTGGTATTTTGATTCAAGCTGCATTAAGACTCTGACAGTTGCATTTTCTGATGCCTTTTTTTTTTTTTTTTCCAGAGTACAGTATTTTCCATTGTAGAGGATTCGTTTTACCTCCTTGTTTAGGTTAATTCCTAAGTCTGTCTCTCTGTCCTCTCTCCCTCCCTCCCTTCTTCTCTCTCTGATGCTATTGTAAAAGACAATGTTTCCCTATTTTCTTCCTCTGTGAGTTTGTTATTGGTTTATAGAAATGCTACTGATTTTTGTGTATTGACACTTGCTATGCTACTGAATTTGGTTATTAATTCTAGGAGTGTTGTGGAGATTTTGCAGTCTACTATGTAGAAGATCTTATCAGCAATTTAACTTTTTCCTCTCTTATCCTTATCTGTTTTGTTTCTTTCTCTTGGCTGATTGTTCTGGCCAACGTTCTGAGAACTATTGTTGTGTTCCTGATTTTGGAGGAAAAGCTTTCGACTTTTCTCCATTTAACATGATACAACTGAGCTGGGTATGGTGGCACATGCCTGTAATCCTAGCACTCACGAAGTTGAGAAAGGAAGATTGATGAGAGTTTGAGGCCAGCCTGAGCTACAAAGTGAGCTCAAGGCCAGCCTGAACTGCATAGTAAGGCCTTGTCTCAAAAAAAGATATTGGCTGTTTGTTTGTGCTAGTTGGCTTCTATCATATTGAGATAAATATCTTCTACACCTTTCTTCATTTTTAAAATTTATTTATTTATTTATTTGGTGCAGGGTCTTGCTATGCAGCTTAGATTCATAGTGATCCTCCTGTCTCAGCCAGTGTGCACCACCACACCCAGTTTGGGCTGCCAGCACAGTGCACCAGGGGTTCCAAGGCCAGCACGGCATACAGTGCTGGGGATCGAACTCTGGTCCTGGCGCTTGCCAGGCAGGCACTTAGACTGCTGAGTCATCTCCCCAGTTCTTCTTCATTGTTTTTATCATGAATGGTTGTTGGATTTTGTCAAATGCTTTTTCTGCATTTATTTAAATGACCATGTGGTTTTTATTCTTATTTCTGATTATGTGGTATATTATATTTGTTGATGTGCATATGTTGATCATCCCTGCACTCTTTGATTGAACCTTGCTTGCTCATAATGTATATGATCTTTTTTATTATGATTTGTGGCATTCTGTTTGCTAGAAGGTCCTAATTGCCTATTTTTTGGTACTAGGGATTGAACTCAGGACCTTGCACTTGCCAGGGAAGCACTTATTCCAGTGAGCTATCTGCCCAGCCCTCATTTACTAGAATGTTACTGAGAATTTTCGCATGTAGAAATTGACCTCTAGTTTTCGGAGAAGTTCACTCTTAATTGTGGTCATTTGGGGTCCCATAGGCCTTGCCTATGTGTATGTTTATCACTTCTGTATTTGGGATTTTTTCCTTCCATTATTTCTGTGAACAAGATTTTTTTTTTTTTTGATGCTATTTGTGTTTTCTGATTTTTCACTTGTTATGTTTACAGTTAGATGATTCTTCATCATCTAGCACTTTTGGATCCATTTTTCATATTTTCTTGTTCCTTTTAAGATGTCTTGAGTAGTTTTTGAAGGCATTATATTGTCTTGTGGTTCTGAAATTCTTTCCTCGGTTCAGTTCTGTTGCCCATAGTTTCAGCATAGTTTTTAATCTGCTTGATTTCTGATTCAAATCTGTTCTTGGACTTTTAATTAATTCTATGTTACACTACTCATTTGTGTTTTGTATTTTTAGTTCTTTTAACTTTTCATTAGTATCTTCTAAAAGCTCCTGAATAATTTTGGTTATTGTTTCTATTGACTGTTTAGTGATGTCTTCTTTGATCTTGCCAAGTACCTCTTTAATTTTTTTTTTCAATTTGAAAGCAGATATTTTATTAACTGATCAAATCATAAAAACACCATGGTAGATACCTTAGTTCATCCTTTTTTTTTTTTTTAAATTTTAGGGAAGGGTGTACAGGGTGTTCAGGGTTTCACTGCTAGATTGGATTCATAGTGATCCATCTGTTTACAGCCTCTCAAGAGCTGGGATTACAGGCGCACACCACCACACCCAGTCTCAGTTGCCATCTGGGTGTGCCCCGGGGGCGGGGTCAGCATGGCAAGCCTGAGGATCCAACCCTTTTTTCCTTAATCCGCTGAGCTATTTGTCCGGCCCACCTTAGTTCATCCTTCTAATAAGCCTGTTGATCGGGGCTTCTCTGTTTCCAGCATCTCCACCTTCCACAAAATGGGTGGTCTTTTTCTTCATTCTACCTCATGGAGATGATAACTTGAATGGCCACAGGAAGTTATATTTGCCTCTTTGAAGCTTTTCCAACAGTATAGGTCTCATGAATCAGATCCTCCATGCAGATGATTCCATGTTTACCAAGAGATCAAGCAATCAGTGAATTATTGTCAAGGCAGTTTGCTTCTTCCTGATTTTGCCATAGGCACGCTTGTATATTAGTTCATTCACTGACTTCAGGTTTGGGTGCCCCATGCAATGTATGGCTCCCCAATTCTCAGCATGTTAATTGAAGCCTTGTTGAGCTTAATGAAGGTACCTTGAAGATTTGGTGAAGGTGAAGAAGCTTCAACACCTTGCGGACCTTTGGGCTCACACCACTGATACCCCTGATCCGGATGACAAATGCCAGTGTGGGCTCTGCAGGACATAGAAGTTGCCAGCTTTCTCGCCATCCTAGCCATTCGGATCTCAGTTCTGTACATCTGTCTGTATTCCTTATGATAGTGTCTGGCTTTTTCATAGATGAGCTTCCTCCTCGCCTTGCGAAGCGTCTTCTGGCCCTTTATCTTCAACTCTGCAAAATGTCTTTGATTTTTCATAAGGGTTTCTGGCACAGCAGAAACCTTCTTTTTCTTCTGTACCCTCCATGGTTCCAGTTGGAGAAGAGGAAGTCCCTCTTTAGTTTTTTTAACTTCCTATTATTTTTTTCTTCAAGTAATTAGGGTGTGTCGCTTATGCTCTTCTTCCCTCAATATCCCCTCAGTTGGCTTTGGGGGAGTTGGGGGAACTTTTTTTTTTTTTTTTTGCCTTCTCACGTCGTCATCATTGTCATCGTTGTCTTCTGCTGCTGCTGCTGCTGCTGCTTCCACTTCCGCTTCTTCCGCTCCTTCTGCTGCTTCTTCCTTTTTGTGCTGAGATTTTGAGATGCCATCAAGCACTGTGTCTGTTAAAAAAAGACTACCTTAAAGGTCCTATGTTCTCTGATTTTCTGGCACATAGTAGAAGCTCCATAAATATTTTTTGAATAAGTGAATGAAAAAGGCTGATATGTAAATGTATATTTCATAATATATATATGATAAAGTACTTACAGACTTAATTTTATAGAGATGACATTTAACTCTGGGTATTAAAAAATAGACATTTGCTTGGCATATAAGTGGTAGCAAGGACTTTTAGATATTGGGTAATATGAAAGCATTGCCACCAAAAGGGTGATGATCGAGCTGGCAAGGTGGGGCTCCTGAGCTGGCCACAAGTGACTGGTGGGCAAGGCAACTTACAGCACAGAGACCAGCAGTCTCCCTTGTCCTCAGCTAGTGTCCCAGGAACACTGTGGACATCTTTGTTTGGAAGGGATCGGGTTGAGGGGCAGCTCCCAGTCTCTCTCCATCCAGCTTAGTTTACAGAAAACACTGACATGTAGTTCTTGTCTATTATAAGTTTTCAGTTTATTTTGCTTCCCATGACTCAATCTGAAGTCATTTGAGATAGTTAAAAATAATAATAATAAAATAAAAGCATGGAGATTTGGAATGAGACAAGTCTAGTCACTGAGGATAGAGTTATTATTGGACATAAATTAGACCAGGTTATGTTAGCCTTGTGAGTACTAGTGTTTTGGGCTGGATAATTTTTTGGGGTGGCTCTTACATGTTGTGGGTGTTTAGCAGCCTCTGGCTTCTAACAAGTAGGTACCAGTGGCATAGTCTTTACTCCACCAATGTGTAGCCAAAAAAAAAAAAAAAAAAAAGACTCCAGAATTGCCAAAAGTCCCACAAAATAAGAGTGGGAGTAAAATCTTCCAGTTTTGAACATTTGGTTTAGAAAGGTTTTATCAAGTCTGATTTTTAACAGGCTTGGATACCAAGTTAAGCCATATATCAAGGCATTTCTTTAAAATATTCTTGGTTTCTGTTAAACTTAATGGATGGTTTGTTGTCTGTTATTGATTTTTTTTTTAAATTGATTTCCAAAAATGTATTGTATCATCTCTGGAATGGGTATACTAAAATAAATTTATATTTTATAAAATAATACCAGCAATGATGAATGGTTTAGTACATAATTTGTTTGAACAGACTCTTCATAGTGTTAATTTTCCTTTTAGGTGTGCTGATGATGTTCCTTTCTTTCTTTGCCTTTTTGCACTGCTGGCTCAATGCCTTTGCTGAGATGTTACGATTTGGTGACAGGATGTTTTATAAGGTAATATATCTTTGGACTCATCTTTTTATATTTTATTTCTTCATTATTAAATGTTTGAGCATTATTGGCTGTTATTAACATTTTGATACAAACATTGTGAAATAATTTTGTATGAATAGACTGTACCAAGTTTGAAATTCTGGTATAACTTTATCTTTTCTTTGACCTTGAAGTTCTCCTCCTTCATACAGTATCTGGTGGTTCTGGTGTGTCCTGTGAGGATATATTGGTGACTGTGTTGGGAAATACTTGTCCAGCAGGCACCTTGAGACTTCTCTGACTGTTGATTCACGTGGAATTGGCTGGCTAGTCTCTGAGAGGGACTTTAGCAAAAATTACTCCATTTAAGACTTTTAGTCTTTTTTTTTTTTTCTTTCTTTATAATTTTATGTATTTTGTTAGGGTCTTACTGCACAGCTCAGACTTGTAGTGATCCTCCTGTTCCAGTCTCCCCAGTGCTGGGATTACAGGCATGCACCACCACAACTGGACTTGGCAGCCAGTTCAGCATGCCCTGGGGTGGGCTTGGCACAGCATGTGGTACTGGGGATTGAGTCCGGGTCCTTGTACTTGTCCAGGCAGGTACTTAGACTGCTGAGCTATCTTTGTGGCCCTGTTAAGCAGTCTTAAGTACTTGTTCCCTCCTTTATTTTGAGAGGTATTCTAGTTCTGATTAAGATAGTGTTCTTTCCCTATTTTTGAAAATACGGTCTCACTCTGTAGTGTAGGCTGGCCTTGAACTCACAGGGACCATCTTGCTTCAATAGTGGGATTGTAAGTATGTGCCACCAGATAGTGCTGTCACATGTTTGAAGTCAGAATTAAACTGTAGCATAGAGCCAGGATGTGTGGCTTACAGTGATCTGTAGCACTGCCTAGAGCCCCATGTTTTATTACTTGGGTGATTTTTTTCCAAGTCTGCTACTCTTCTTAAAGAAACAGTAAGTGTGAGTTGCAAATTTATTTCTAATTCTGTTAGTCTCTAATTCTGTTAGTCTGATCTTAAAATTTGGAACAAGACATATAAAAAGGGACACTAGGACTTCAAGGAGGCTGTCATCTATTGCTAAATAATAGAATCTTGCTATTTATGATACTGAACAGCTCTTTAGTGGTAATGCTATATTTAGTCATCATGACTTTATGCGTCTTTCATTATGTACTAACAGGATTGGGAAGAGGTTCAGGTGATAGTTGTTCAGGTGAACATTAGATTTAAATGCTTCTGTATGTTCTGTATCTTTCATCATAATTTGTTTGATAATGAGACAAAATAGTCCTAGGGACTTAATCATGTGTAACTCTAAAATAATGTTGTATTGAATATTTATAGACAGGATGCCTTCACATGTTCATGATGGGGCCATAATTTGTATGTCTTGCTGCTGGGTGGCTCTGATTTTTATGTTCCCACTGGCTTGAACCACTGGTGGTACGTACATAACTAGCCCATCAAATGACTGTTAAAAGTGCATGATAGTTACAAGTGATTAGAACTAGCACCATTTGAACCATCAGTGGTAAAAGCCACCAGATGGGACAATCATGCATGTACCACCAGAGGTTCAAGCCAGTGGGAATGGGTTAAGTAAAGGTTTTTCTGATATTAGTGTGTACGTGAACAGTTTATAATAAAACACTGGGTTCTGTGTCATCTATGTATGTTCTCTGGGGAATGAATATTCAAAGGTTTTACTTTGGGAGTGTGTGTACTTTAATATTTTTACTTTTTCTCCTCAGGATTGGTGGAATTCTACATCATACTCTAACTATTATAGAACCTGGAATGTAGTAGTCCATGATTGGCTCTACTACTATGCTTACAAGGACCTTCTTTGGGTAAGTAACAAGATTTAGTTGATGTTATTTAAGAAGTAGATACTCTTTTCCAAGAAGTATGAGTGTTGTGCAAGCTGGAAAAACTTATACTTAATTCCTCGTGATGAATACAATAATAGAATAATGTCCTGTTTTTAGTTTTTTTAAACAAATTTACATCTGAGAACCCTTCTGCATTGAATAGTACTGCATGGAAACCAGC